TTTGTTCTATTTGAAACTTTAGGTTGTTTGTTACTGTTGTTAAGAAGATGTGAGATGTGTGTGTGTGTGTGTGTGTGTGTGTGTGTGCGCGCGCGCGCGCGTGCTTAGGCCATGTATAAACCCAGAAGTGAAGTCACAGAATCATATACATCTTTTCAACCTAAAAGATACCACCTGCTGTCCAAAAGGCACAAACCAACCTCCAGCCACTTCATCTCCGTGTGAGCCTCTGATCCTGCTTCTACATTCACCATCTGTAGGTGCACAAGAGGCTAAAGTGTGATGCTGATTGCGATTTCACTGATGATCCATGATATAAAGCCCCTTTTAATGTTTACTGGCCACATGGGCATTGTCTGTCAAGCACATTTGAGACGTTGTAACTATATTTCTACTGGGTTGTCTGTAACTATCCTCATATATTTTGAACACAAAACCTTTGTTGTTATGCACTGCAAATATCTTCTCGCAGGCTGTGGCTTACATAGTGCCCTCTTCTTTTGGGGTTTTGAGACAAGGTCTCATGTAGCCCAACCTAACCTCATGAAGCTGAGTAAGATCTATAACTCTTGATCCTACTGCTTCTACCTCCCAAGTGCTTGGACCATGGAGATGGGGGCTGGGGGACACAAGGCCTTACGTATCTCAGCTTATCTCAAACTTACTATATGATCTAGGATGATTTGGAATTCCTAACCTTTCTGCTTCTACCTCCCAATTGCCAGTTTTTTGTTGGTTTGTTTGTTTAAGGCGGGGTCTTATTATGTAGCCCAAAAGGGCCTCAAACTAAAGGCAATCTTCTGTCCCAGCCTCCCGGGTACTGGGATTACAGGCATGAACCACCTGTACTCTTAACGGTGTCTTTAAAGGAATGGAAGTTCTGTTTGTGAAGTACATTTATCTAGTTAAAATACAAGGTGACTAGAAGCAGTCTCTTAGGGAAAGTAACTCTTTTGAAAGTGCCATCTGCAAAATTTACATCTTAAAGTATCAATGAGAAGGAAGCCTAGACAACCAGCTTTAAAAGTTATTTATTACTGTATGAGCACATGTGTGGTTGCACATGTGTACCAAAGCATGCTTATGCAGGTGAGAGGGTAACCTGGAGTCAGTTCTCTCTCCATCATGTGGGTCCTGGAAACTTAACCCTGATCATCTGACCAACCCTGAAGTTCTTATATGTAATAAATTTACTTTAAAAGTCGTTTTGTCAGTTTCTATTGAGAAAAACCTTCTATCTCTATCTCCTTAATGCAAACTGTTTGCGGAGTTGGAGGCATGGCTCTGCGAAGAGCACTTGCCTTGTGAGTGAGGTTCTGAGTTTGCTCCCCATCAATATAGAGACACACAACCCCAAATTGGTTGATGATTGGTATGGTACTGTAAGTGATCATACATATGATTAGTCAGCTTCAAGTCCCAACATCTGGCTGCACGTGGCTAGTGGCTATACACTGGACAGTGCAGACACAGAGCATGGCTGGTGACTACACTGGACAGTGCAGACACAGAGCTTTTATGATAAGAAACTACAGGAGCTGGAGGTTTGGCTCAGTGGTTAAGAGCATGCACTGCTTTTCCAAGGGCCCAAGTTCAGTTCCTTGTACTAGCATCAGGTGGCTGACAACATAACTCTGGCTCCATGGCATCCAACATCCTCTTCTGGACTCTGTGGGCACCTGCACCCATGTTATATAGATACACACATGAGTAAAAAATAAAATTTATAGCATCATTAAAAATAAAGAAATTGCAGAGGCTGAGGAGATTGCTTGTAAAGTACTTTGCCACACACATACTCTCACTAAAAAGCAGGCAGTGGCAGAGGCAGCCTGCCTGAATCTTAGTGCCGGGGCAGTGAATACAGGAGGACTCCTGGGGCTCTCTGCACACTTGCTGTAGCCTAATTGGTGAGCTCCAGGCCAGTGAGAGATCCTTCTCAGGGTGCATAACATGTAAGAATGCAATCCAAGGGTGTCCTCTGGTCTCCACATGCATGGGGGACAGACACGTACACATGCACACACTCACACACAGACTCCACAGAGGAAACCACCTGCTGGCCAGCAATGCTGTGCAGTAGTAATGTGCCTGCCACTGACCTTCAGTGCTTCCGACAGTGCTTTCTCCTTCCTCTCCCACTACAGTCTGTACCAAACACTTCTTCAGACACCTACTTCTGTAATCCCCTTCTTATACCTAATGTGCACTTACCTCCATTGTCTCGTCTTTCAGTCTAAACCCGCTGTGAGCAAACCCAACACCTTCTCCCTGGACCCCAGATGCTACAAAGCCAGGCTACCAGACTCAGTTGACTCTGCACATTTGCTGACACAGGTTTGAGGGCAGACAGCGATCTGGTGCTCAAACGGCAGTGAACAAGACAGCAACAACTCAACAACAGTACAGGGAGATCTTATTTTCTGGTAGCAAACGCCAACTACTGTGAAGGAAACAGAGTGGGAAACGCAGGCAGGGAATGCCCCTGAGAGGGTATTTGAGCTACAAGGTGCCTACAAAGAGGCACGAGAATTCTCTTCAGAAGGAACAGTATGTGGGAAGGCCTCAGATGGGAACAGGCTTGGCATGCTTCCAGGAAGAATGGAAGCAAAAAGAAGAGAAAATGTGAGAAGTATGAAATGGAAAGAGTTTAAAAAAGAAAAAACAATGCAGGCATAGCCAGACTCTGTTGGCAATGGTAAGATGAGAACTTTATTATCGGATGAGAGCAGAGAGCAGCTGCAGAAAAGGTGCTCCAGGAGGGCTTTCTCTGACCTAGTCCAGGAAGACACATCAAAGAGCCCAGACCTCCCTCGCTTCCTCCTGCCTCGCCTCACTTCTACCAGAGACAGGCACTGTCCTTTAGACGAGTCCTGACAGCCAGCGGCTTGCGTCTGCCGCAGCCCCTTCCCTCACACCTGCCCACCAGCCTGGTGAACTCCTTGGCAAATCCTCTACTACCTGCCCCAGAACAAACCCCCACTTTAACCCCTTCACTACCGCAGTCTTAGCCCCAATAATCATCATTGTGTGTGTGTCACAGTCTCTAACCTGTCCTAAAACAACTCAATAGTACTTTTGGAGGGCTTTTATCGCATAACTCTTTGAGCAAAATTTTTAACCTTGTTGATCTTTTGTTTATATTTTATGGTTTATGATTTTATTTTTATGGGTTGTCTGTGTGTGCGAAGATGCGTGTTTCAGTATCTGTGTGTGTTTTTTGTGCTTTTCCTTTGGCTCTCCTGATTATTGTTTGTTTTGTCTTATTCTGGTTTGTTTTTATTTATTTTATCTTTTATAATAATAATAAATCTGTTTTCTAATGAAAATGAGAAAGAAAAGTATGGATTTGGGTGGGTGGGTAAATAGGGAGGAGTTGGAGGGGGAACTGTAATCAGAATATATTGTATGAAAAAAATATATTTTCAATAAAAATAAATAAAATTTAAAATAATCTGCTCAGAAATCCTAGCCTGAGAAATTAGACCAGAAAGGAAGGAGAGGAGGGGAGGAGGGAGGCAGGAAGAAAGAAAATGTATCTATCCAAATTGAAAATCAAGATGTTAAAATCTCACTGCAGATGGTATAAGCTGGCATATATTAACCATGTTTTTTAAGAAGAAAAAAATCTTAAAGCCTTACCCAAAAGCTATCTGAACTAACAAATTCGATAAAGTTATAAAATAAAGATGGTCAACACACAGGCAGGCATGGTGGCTCATGTCTGTATTTGGAAAACAGAGTTAGTAGAACTCGCTCAAGTTTAAGGCTAGACTCGTCTACACAGTTTGTTTTAGGCAAAGCCAGCCAGAGCTATCTATATAATGAGATGGTATACAAACCATTTTTAAATAATAATTTAAAAATAAGCATACAAAAAGCAGCTCTGTTTCTATATTCTAACAACATTTTGGGTGAATTTTATAGAACTTGTGCACATAGAAAATCAACATAGCCTAGAAAGAAGGAACTTGCATTTGGATACCAGGTGGCTCTAGGCTCTGAGGGACACAGCTCCCGTGCCTCTGACGAGTCCTGCATCCCCAAAGCCTCTAGCATGTCAAACCTGCAGTCAACCTCCTGCACCCAGGTCTGGAACAAGCAGTCTCAGAGAAAGTAATTTCTTCCATCAGGACAGACAGAGAATGTTCACAATGATGCAATCTCAGCATCCAGTCTTCCTCCATCCCTTCCATGCAGTGTGAGGAAACCTCCTGTCGGAGAACTCGTAGTCTCCACTAGGCATGTGGCCAAGGACAGCTATGCTAGTTAAAACATGGAGATTTCCAGCTGGGGGTGGTGGTGGTGGTGGTGGTGGTGGTGGTACACACCTTTAATCCCAGTGCTTAGAGACAGAAGCAAGCGGATCTCTGAGTTCAAGGCCAACCTGGTCTACAAAGCAAGTTCCAGGAATGCCAGGACAGTTACACAGAGAAACCCTGTCTCCAAAAGCCAAAAAAAGAAAAGAAAAACTTTGAAATCTTAAAATCTCTGTCCGATGTGGTGGCAGAGACCAGCAACTCCAGCACCAGGAGGGGTGAAGCAGGAGGACCCCAAGTTTGAAGCCTGTCTGGACTACACAGCAGACCTGTCTCAGAACAAAGCAAACTTCCTTCAAGACACAACGATTAGAGCATTATGACATCGATGTTTCTTCATACCCAGGAATCAAACACCACGGATGATCCTGATTCTTCCTTAAAACACTGTTATCTTATTCCTACTGCCTCCCTGGAGCCTCCACATTTGCTTGGGGATCTCAGACAGAGTGCCCAAAGCCTGCATCGTCTGCACTGCCTCCTCACACCTGGCTTCCTCGCCCCTGACGACTGCCCCTGCACTAACAACACTCACCACAGTGAGCTGTTAAGTCCAACAGACTCTTGCTGTACTTGACCTGACTAGACCTCTCGGCAGCGTCTCTCACTAGACTATGATTGTGACACTCTTAAAACTCTCATCTGGTTCCCAGGATACCCTCTTCCAAATTCTATTTGTTCGTTTATAAAATATTTATAAATCACTTACAGGGATGCCAAGTCCGATGTTAGAACTGAGGCTGCAGACTCCTTTCAGATCCTTGTGAACAGGTAATTATCATTTGACAAATATAATTAGTATTTTGACAGAGTGAGAATGGGGCGTTGGGGGACGAACAGGCACATGGGTGCACGCTCTCACACACACAGATTTCTTTTAAACCTCAAAAATCTTGCCAGGTGCTGTGGCAGACATCGGTGATCCCGTACTGGTGAGTAACAACAAGGCTGGTCTGGACTACCCCATCATCCACCGTCCCCCCGCCCCAGTTCCAAGCCTTTGCCTTTGAATCACCTCTACACCAGAGCTACCATTACCACTCTAACCCAGCTGCCAGCTGCTCTTTTCCTTGGGTGGGAAGCCTCCCTCGCCCCTCTCCGCCCACCTGCTCCTTCCCGCTGGTGCACATGCACTCTGCCCATGCACGGGCCAGTGCCTGGAGAGCGGGCACACCCTGGTCACACGGCCGGCCGAGGGTCTGGTCCCTTCCGGGGACCGAATGCGGTAGGAGGCCGAGTCAAGGCCCAGGCTTCCCCCGTTTGCACGGTCCGTCCACAGACGTGCACAACCGAGACGCCCTCTCTAGCCTCCTGCCCTCGCAGAGCTACAGTTCGGAGGATGGCCCGACGACGCTCGGACCACGAAAACCGTTAAACCCGGGCTTCGCGCCAGTCTCCTTCCAAAGCCCGCGGAGGAAAGCCGAGGACCGGGCGTGGAAAGAACCCGCGGAGGCGGTCCTGTGGGACCACAAGCTCGCGGCTGGCCAGGGCCCGGGGAGGCCTGCTCCCAGCTCAGCCCCGGGGCTGCAGGCTGGCTCGCACCCGGTGGGGCAATGGCCTCCAACTGCCCTCCCTGCGGCCCGGCGCCGGGGGGAGGGGAGACGGAGAGGCCGTTATTGGCGCCCACGGGGGTCGGGGGCGCCCCCGGGGCGGGGCCCCTGCAGCGGCGGCCTTACCTCTTAGGAAAGGGACCTTGTCCGATCGCCCTCTCGGTTTGCACCAGGTGAAGCAGTGCGGGGCCGTCGCTCCGGGTCCTCCTCCGGTGGCCGCCAGCTCTGTCAGCAGCGGGCGACTGGCGCCTTGACGGGACTCGGCCGCGAGCGGCCTGCTGATTGGCCGGGGCTCGCCACGTGACTGTGCCTGCGCCTCAAAGCGCGGAGGTGCGAGCCGGGCCTGAGCCTGCTGCAAGGCGGCCGAGGCTTGGAAGGTCGGTCTCGGTCTCCATCTCGCAGCAGGCTGGGTGCCTTCGCTCCCGACCGACCTCCACACCCCAGGAAGTTGTGGGCTTGCGAGTAGAGGGCTGCTGTGAGGGGTTTGCTGCTTGCTTGCTTGATTGATTGATTGGTTTGGGTTTTGCATTTATTGTTTATTTATCTGGACACAGTCTCAGCCTGGGGGGACCTTGGACTGATCCTCCGGCTTACTGGCGGCATGTACTACTGTACCCAGTTCCAAGGTCTTCATTATGCTTTGTATTTCAGATGAAGATGGTAGTTTTATTATGTTTTTATCAACTGGCATGTGTGTGTGTGTACACGCTCGCCTGTGCACAGGACAACCTCCAGGAGTCAGTTCGCAGTTCTCGCCTTCCAACCATAAGGGTCCGGAGGATATGATAGTGCTCCAGTCATCAGGTGAGGCCGGTTACTTTAATGCCTGGGCCGTCTCCTTGATCCAAGAGTTTGCTTTTGAAGTCACTTTTTTTCTTTTCTTTTTCTTTTTTTCTTTTCTTTTTTTTTTCTTTTTTGTTTTTTTGTTATGTTTTTTGAGACAGGGTTTCTCTGTGTAGCTTTGCGCCTTTCCTGGAACTCACTTGGTAGCCTAGGCTGGCCTCGAACTCACAGAGATCCACCTAGCTCTGCCTCCCGAGTGCTGGGATTAAAGGCGTGCGCCACCACCGCCCGGCTTGAAGTTACTTTTTCATTATGGACTAACCTTGTGCTGTTACTTTAAGTGCTCATGAGTTTAGTCTGATGACATTTCCATCCTTTTCTCTCGCTCTCTGCATAGCTCCTGTTTCTAGTCTCCTAAATAGATAATAGATAGCGGCTGTGGTACATTCCGTTTTGTTTTTCTCTCTCTCTTTCTTTTTCTTTCTTTCTTTCTTTCTTTCTTTCTTTCTTTCTTTCTTTCTTTCTTTCTTTCTTTCTTTCTTTCTTTCTTTCTTTCTTTCTTTCTTTCTTCTCTCTCTCTCTCTCTCTCTCTTTTGAGACAGGATTTCTCTGTGTAGCTCTGGCTGTCCAGGAACTTTTTTTTTTCTTTTTTCTTTTTTGAGACAGGGTTTCTCTGTATAACAGCCCTGGATGTCCTGGATCTCGCTCTGTAGACCAGGCTGGCCTTGAACTCACAGATCTGCCTGCCTCTGCCTACCAAGTGTTGGGATTAAAGGCATGTGCCATCACCTTTTTGTAGACCAGGCTCTCAAACTCACAGAGATCCGCCTACCTCTGTTTCCTGAGTGCTGGGATCAAAGGCGTGCACCACCACACCCGACACATTCACGGGTTTTAAGATGCCACTTATCACAGCTGCACAAAGTGATTTAGGATTTTGAGTTTTAGCAGCTACCTCCTGATGGCTTGTGGACACTTTAAATATACCTAAGCCTAATGATGTGTTTAACAGGGTGGTTTGTTTTTCCCTCTAAGCCAATTGCAATGTTTCCATTTGTTGTGTTGAGACAGGGTCTCACTGCAGCCCTGGCTGACCTTAAACTGGCTGTGTAGACCCGGCTGACATCAACTCACAGAGATCTTCCTGTCTCTGCTTCCTGAACGCTGGCCTTAAAGGTGTGTGCCTCCGGCCTGCTTCTGAATAGTCCTAGATGCACTGAGGAGAAAGGGGAGGGCAGGACAGCTGAGCAGCCTTGACTTGGTAAGGAACACAGCTGAGAGTCATTGACTGCTGGGCGACGTGGAGGAGATTCCTCACGACAAGGAAGCAGTGCGGCCCACTAGAAGCTGCAGATCTCCACACACGGAGCTGTCACCTGGGAAGGCTCTTCCCTCCAAAACACTGAAAACGGCTTACTTCAGACACAGAACTAGAAATCCCTCAATTTTCAAGTAAAACAAAGATCAAGAATTGTTCAGAGCCCAGCATGGAGGCACACCTTTAATCTCAGTACTCAGGAGGCAGAGGCAGGTAGATCTCTTGAGTTCAAAACTAGCCGGGCTACAGAGTAAGCTCCAGGACAGCCTCACAAACCTCAGACATTGCAGGAAGTTATAGAGAAGGTCTCTTGAAATTACTATAGCCTAGGTTTTCAAGTCCTCAAAAAGGCCCACCCCTTTGAGCCAGAAGGATACCTACTGTCTGCCTGGTGAGGTGCTACATTTCTGTAATCCCAGCCTGGGCTACAAAAGGTGAGGTCCTGTCTCATGTGGAGAGAGAGAGAGAGAGAGAGAGAGAGAGAGAGAGAGAGAGAGAGAGAGAGAGAGAGCGAGCACATTAAGGTGCCAAGATGGAAAGTGGACAGGAGCATCTGACTGTCTGATATCTGGATTAAGAGCAAGCCTCACCTCCAGAATGAATATGGAAGGACAAACTTCAATGACTCTCTTGTTAATTTCTTTTTTTTCTTTGTTTCTTGTTTGTTTGTTTGAGATAGGTCTGAGTGTGTAACCCTTCAGCTCAAGCTAAGCTCTTCTTCCTCGGCCTCATGAACACTGAGGGCCACTTGGTGGGGTTCTGAAATACTATCTCAAATTCGTGACTAACAATTCATTCCTCACCTCCCTTGGGGTCAGTAATCTACCATCACATTTTAATTTTTTAACATTTATCTGAGTGTACATGTGTGTTTCCAGACAAAACAGTACAGATCACTGTGGCCCACCTGATATAACACACATCCACAGAAAGAAATGTGCTCTTCCTCTGCCATGCTCTCTGTGAGTTCTCTTAAGAGAGCTGTTTCCATAAAAGTTTAAACAATCTGTGTTCTTCTGGGACCATTTCTCCCCAAGCATCCTTTCAATCGTGGCTGTGAGGTTACTTAGTATGTTACCTTGTCAGTTATTAGATTACCGCACTACTCAAAACCCACCAGTCGGCCATCGAGATGATGGTAAAGGTGCTTGCTGTCGTGCTGGAAGTCCCGAGTTCCACTCCTGGAACCTACAGGGTGGAAGGAAAACTAACTTCCTGTTTTCAGACCTTCATGTACACGTGCATACGCACGGATACACATGCACTTGAAATAAATAATAAATGTTTTAAAAAATCCTTCAGTGGTGTCCTGTCTTACCCAGAGACCCAATGTCAACTTCGAATTCCTCCACGGAGCCCCAAGGAGCTGGTCCACATCATCTCTTTCTGTCACTCCTCACCTCCCTACTCGGCTCCACCTGCCTCTCTGCTCTAGTACAATCGCGTCGAACGTTTCCCACCCGCGGGCTTCCGGTGCAGACTGTCCCCCACAACGTCATCAGAAGTGGAGCATTCTTGGCTGGTCATTTTGTTTGGTTTGTTTTGATACCCCAGGCTGGCCTCTGGCTTATTATTATATACAGTCCAGGATGACTTTGAACTTCTGATCGTTCTGGTGGGAATTAATGCTTGGTTTTGGGTACTGCTGGGGTGCTTCCTGCATACTGCAAACTGAACTGTCCCCTCTGTGGCTGGCTGATCTTGTGTTATCTGTTGTGTTTCTCCTCTGATGTGGACTCCACTGAGAACAGCGCTTTGCCTGTCTGTGCTGTGTCCAGGTGATAGTTACTCTCCTGTTAAGTGAGTACATACTGGGGTAAATTGTGACGCTAGGCAGGCCATACCGTTTATTTCTAACCAATTACAGCCATGTAATTGTGTTCCTTTTGCTGTTTGTCTCCTGAACTAAGATACAGAAGTCCATTGTCCCATTAATACTGATGAAAATTAGATTCACTTTTGAGAGATTGGTTTGAAATTTCCAAAAATATTTCCAAAGCTGCTTTATGATTCCTTAGTACATGTTCCCATGTGACCACGAGGTGGCAGAAGATGACCACATTCCTTCCAGGAAGCCTTCCTCGCTCACCTTTTGGACAGTTGTAGAAACTTCACATCTGAAGAGTACTTTGTAGCAGAATAATTGGTTCAACAAACAATGTCTCAAGGTGCTCCAACAAACAGGGAAGACAGTTATTATTTTATTTTATGTTTTGTTTTTTTTTTTTTTTTTTGAGACAGGGTTTCTCTGTGTAACAGCCCTGGCTGTCCTAGAACTTCCTCTATACACCAGGCTGGCCCTGAACTCAGAGATCCGCTTGCCTCTACCTCCCAAGTGCCGGGATTAAAGGTGTGAACCGCCACTGCCCAGTTTATCTGTGTTTTGTTTTTGTTTGTTTTGTTTTTTAAGTTCACTCCAGAACCAATGACATTGGTTAGAAGTTAGAAGTGGACTTCCGTCCCTGCTGCTGTCTTAGACTTGCCCTGGTATTTCAGTTTTAAAATGTGGCCCAACAAGAAATGAGTTTTCCTTTTTATGAGGTTGCCCTGGAATTCACGGTCCTCTTGCCTCAGCCCCTGAAGTCTTGGGACGACAGGAATAAGCTGCCACAGCCCACTGGCTTTCAAACCATTTAGGATGGATCCTAGCATGCATCTCTTTTTGAGTGTCCTCTGACTTCCAAACATGTTTAGGGGAAAAGCAGTTTATATTTCAAGGCTTCTGCATTGTCAGCAAACAGTCCTTGGGAGTATCATGGTGCCCAGACACGTGTGTGGCTTTGTGTACATGGAAGTTTCTACTATTCGAGTGGTTGAGTGCTGTTGGGTGTGTTTTCTGTGAAGAGCTATAGAATTCCTGGGAACTGCACATGGATTAACCTACCTTGGAAGGATCTGAAGGATTCTGAACTGGACTAGCAGAAAAGTCACCTACATGTAAACTATCACTTCAGTTCATCAAACATTAAGGTTGTCTGAGTTTATTACATGCAACCAACTAGGGATTGTTTAATACAGGTATTCCACCTGGTATTTGTGCCAGTTGTGGAATACTTTCCCCTTGAGTTGTTGGCTAAGGGTCCCCTGGAGACTCCCAATACAATACAGGTTATTGTTATTGATCTTGGTTGCCCATTAGAACTTGATAGTAAGACCCTGTGGTAGTTTGAAAGTAATTGGCCCCCATAATATCATAGGGAGTGGCACTATTAGGAGTTGTGGCTTTATTGAAATGGGTATGGCCTTATTGGAGGAAGTGTGTCACTGTGGGCTTTGAGTTTCCTATGCTCAGGACACTGCCCAGTGTCTCAGTTGACTTCCTGTTGCCTGCAAGATGTAGGACTCTCACCAACTACTCCAGCACCACATCTGCTTATAAGCACCATGCTCCCCATCATGATAATAGACAGAACCTCTGAAACTGTAAGTGAGACACCCCAGTTAAATATTTTCTTTATAAGAGTTGCCATGATCATGGTGTCTCTTCACAGCAATAAACACCTACCTAAGACAGACCCTATTGCTGAAGACACCATACACTTTGGTCACAGGACTTGGAGAAATCAAGCAGGTACTGACCATGAAGTTTCCTCCCTGCTGGCTAGCTTTCATAGTACTGGAAGGTACTATGTGGTGGTATTGTGTTCTCCAAAATATTGTGCACCATAATAAACTTATCTGGGGTCAGAGAACAGAACAGCCACTAGATACAAAGGCTAGAAAATGGTGGCACTCACACCTTTAATCCTAGCATTCCAGAGGTAGAAATCCCTCTGGATCTCTGTGAGTTCAAAGCCACATTGGAAACAGCCAGGCATGGTGACACTCACCTTTAATCCCAGGGAGTGATGGCAAAAACAGAAATATATATAAGGCTTGGAGACCAGAAACCAGAAGCATTTTGGCTGGTTAAGCATTTGGCTGGTTAAGTTTTTAGGTTTTGAGCAGCACAGTTCAGCTGAGATCCATTTGGATGAGGACTCGGAGGCTTCCAGTCTGAGGAAACAGGAACAGCTGAGGAATTGGTGAGGTGAGGAAGCTGTGGCTTGTTTGGTTTCTCTGATCTTCCAGCATTCACCCCAATACCTGGCTTCAGGTTTGGTTTTATTAATAAGAACTTTTAAGATTCCTGCTACAGTACTATGCAGACTGCTGGGGGAAAATCGTTTAGCCTACAATCAATGACCAGGATGACAAGAAACACCCACGGCTACAGTTGTGGACGGATGTTATGGGATAACCAACTGCTCTCTGGTTGGACTTAAGGCCCTATCCACAGGAGGAAACATGTGCTTAGCACTGTAAATCTGGTCGATAAACCATGGTTGGGAAGTCACAGCCCAGGAGTGAACCTACTACTATTTTGCTAAAATGGAGATAGTATCAAACTCGTATCTCTACCCATAGATTAGTAGGGCTCTCAGACCCCATCAGTGAAGTTTCTTTGTGCAGTGGATGGGGGTTAACCCAGAAATTCAAACTTGCTGAAGTGCAGAGAAATGTCAGTGGTGTACTCAGCCACAAATGGGATGTCTGGATCACACCCTTCCCCCAAGGCTGAGGAACCATCATGGAAGAGGAGGCAGAAAGATGGTAAGAGCCAGATGTCTGGGGAGACTAGAGTGAAACAGTGTCTTCTGTCCTCTGGGTGTGATCTGACCACTGCCCTCATGAGCTTACAGGGGTGTGGTTGCCTGCAACAGATCTGTCGATCAAACCAGTCATCATTCTCACAAGGGGCAGGGAGCCCCCGCTCCTGGCTGAGGAGATTTTGACGGCTGATTTCTGCTGAAGAGTCAGCTTTCCTTAAGGCTGTGGCTTCTTTTAGGTTGAGCACCACAGAGCCATACAGTGAATGGCTCCACACCTGTGAGTATGTGGTCAGCGCAATTGGGACTTGGAGCGTTAGTTAAAAATAAATAAGGAGGGTGTGAAGCTGGGAGGGGCTGAGGAGATGGGGGTGGAGGGCCTGGGGGAGTTAGGGCAATACAATAAGAATATGTTGTATGCATGGGTGGAATTCTTGGAGGATCAATAAAAATATTACATTAAAAAAAGAAATTTGATTCAATGAAGCTCCACGTTAACTGTGCGGCTATGGAGCCATACAGGACTGGGGCTCTCGAGAGGATCGTGAGCTTCAGAGGCTGACGTCTTGGGTGTGGTGTTATTTACTGATGGGGCGGCCCTTACAGCAATTAAACCTCTCTGAGCCTCGCGTATAAAATGAGCGTGATAATACCTGCCGAACAAAGTTGGCCGGGAGATGAAGCAAGATAGTGATTATGGCAGATGCACAGAGATGAAAATCTCTGGTTGCAAGGTGATTGTTACTGTCTCGGAGCATGGGGTGGGGCTGGGGCTGGGGGTGGAGGTTGGGGGTGGGGTGGGTGGGATGTGGGGTTTTTAAGCAGCCAGGCCTGTCATCCTGCCAGCTATTCACATTGAGTAGCTTTGCCTTTATTCCTGCACCCCAGTTTTCCTGCTGAGGGAAACAAATGAAGCAATCAACGTGTTCTTTATTGGTGATTTGTTGTTTGCCTGTTTGTTCTTTTCATGCTGTGGATCACACTTGGGGTCCAGCACCAGACAGTGTCTGAGCACACTCAGGGCTCAGCTCCACATAGTTACCACTCCAGCCCTGACTGAGCACACTCAGGGCCCAGCTCCACACAGTTACCACTCCAGCCCTGACTGAGCACACTCAGGGCCCAGCTCCA